ATTATATGCAAACAAGTTTCAAGTTTCTAGCAATTAAAGGCGGCTAAACTAATTTAGACAAATTGATCGAAACAACCAAATTAATTTAATTAGCGGACTTATTGAATTAAAATCAAATTTCAATTAAATATCAAATTAGAGTCCAACACTAATTCTACAATTATAGGGTGGGACTATTTAATTAAAATTAAATTTAAATTAAATATCAAATTAGAGTCCAACTCTAATTCCAATAAAAATTTTCTGCGAGACAATTTAATTAAAATCAAATTTTAATTAAATAAAAAATAAGAGTCCAGCTCTAATTATAATCGAATTAATACGGTTGAATTTAATTAAAATCAAATTTTAATTAAATACAAAGTAAGAGACAAACTCTAATTCCAAGATATTAGGACAAACTTATTTAATTAAAATCAAATAATAATTAAATACCAAATTAGAGTCCAACTTTAATTTCAAGAAAAATTTAGGCTAAGACAATTTAATTAAAATCAAATTTCAAATTAGTCCAACTCTAATTTTAACAATATACTAGGGTCGATGATTTAATTAAAATTAAATTTTAATTAAATACTAAATTAAAGTTCAACTCTAATTTAATTGAATTAAAATTTTAATTTAGGATAAAACTCTTAAAAAAAATAAAATTCAATTTAGGGTCAAAGTAATTATTTAAGTTAAAATTCAATTTTAACAAAAATATAAAAAGTCATCAATTTTAAATAAAATTTTAAACATGTCAAAATTGATATTTTAGGTCAAACATATTTGAAAATCAAGTTTAAAACCATTTTAATATATAAATTCAAAAACCCATTTTTGAAAATTGTAACTTGACCCATGTTTAAAATTAAAAGAGAGCCCTTTAATTAAATTAATTGCATGACATGTCCTTCATTTTAAAAATTGCAAATAGACCATTTATTCATTATTGCAGGTGGGGACCTACAATTTCACAAAATGCAATAGAAGCCCCCGCCTCCACCCCTTTTCTGAAACTCAAAAAAAAAAACACCGAATTATTTTTTTTCTTTTCCTTTTGGCAGACAAATGTATTTGCAGTATGCGGCGGATGTCGTCACTGCCCTTACAGCAGCGTTCGCTGCTGTAGCACGAACGCTGCAGTTTTTTGTTGCAGCAACAATTGTAGCTGTGTTGGGCAGTAGCAGCACGCGATCTGCTGTCGCGTGCTGCCTTGCTCCCTGCGGCGGTGCATCGTACTGTGCAGGGCCCACCAGCGATGCCGTAGCCACTCCAGTCCCGATCCATTTTCAACACAAAATTTTATTTTCTTTTCAAAAACAGATTTTTGAATAAAAAATTATTTTTGTAAATTGCTAGATTCAAGAAAAAAAGAATAACAATCAACTTTTGATTGTTCAACATGCAAGAACAATTTCGAACAAATTCAAAGTAGACTCTGATATCACTATTGGGAATTTACTTAATCATACACAGTCGAAAATAAATTATTTTTCAATTCTCACCACAGATCTGCTTTGTGTTTAAATAGAAATTGTGTTTAGAATAATACCTTTGATGAATTCTGCAAACTCCTTTACTGATTCTTGAACTCCAATGATTACGATCTGCAATCCAAGTTGTCCAA